CCGCTCTTCGAAACGGACGCGTCGAATGCCTTATACTAGCGCCACGTGCGAGCTTTAGAGTTTTCGATACGTGAGAAGTTGAGAACTTTGGCACGGTCCTCGGAAGTTGGTGGGTTATGCCGGTTTGGATTGGACCGGGTTTTTTTAGTGAATACCATATACTTATTATGGTTAGATAAAATAATTGAAATATGACGGTCAAAGTTCATGAATTTGGTAAGTTTTTTTTATAAAGAAAAATAAAATGAATTTGGTAAGTTGTTATATTCCTTCCCTTATACAAATTTCATTTCACAAGTTCTTTTTAGGTCGAAGCTGATAGGGGAATTAGGCATAGTTTTTTTAATGCTAAACTAATAAAGTAAAATAATGTAAACAAATCTTAGTAAACTAATTTTTTATAGTTTTTAAAATTCGTTTTTATAATTGGATTGGAATTTATGTTTTAATTTTTACATCATTTTTTATTTTAAAGTGATTAGTTTCAGAACAATGATTTTTAATACCTTTTTTTGAACTAATTCTCTGTAATATATTATCTCACTAATTATTTTATTAATTTTTCTAAAACCCGCTACTAATTAACACAAATAAATTACATTAATCGCATTTCCATTTAAAACAAAACAGTATCCGATTCTCCAAATCAAATTATTAAATTATAATTAAAACTTTTCTCATTTTTTACGAACATAAGACATGATTTCATTAATTGGGTTTCACCATATATAATTTCTGTTACTCATTTTCATTTCCTTTAATTATGATTTTTTAACTATTCTTCGAATATTATATCATTATTTGTTAATTTACTTTTACAATCAATAAACAATATCAAAGAACGGTAACTAGCACCTTCTTAATCGATTTTCTATTGCATTCTATCATGGTACACAATTCGCCAAAATTTTACCCGAAAAGAACCACTTGTTCCATGGTCCAAATCTTTTTTTGCATAATTTACTTCTTTTAAAAATATAATGATTTGGTTTTCCTGTGCTGTATATCAAGAATGACAGTCAGACAAAATGAGATCTTTTTATTTAATTGTTTTAAAATATTTTCGCTTGTTTTTTATTTAGTCATCAACTAAAAATAGAATATGTTTAACCGATTGAAAAAGTTATATATATAAAAATATTAAAAACTTTTTAAGGTATGAATTGAATTATCTTGATGGTTGTGCCTGTCATGGACATGTGACATGGATGGGATTCAACAAGTGGAGCCTCATTTTTATTGGGCCTAAACATGAGCCTACTATCGTATTGGGCTTTTCTTCTAGGCCTGATTCCCCACAATTACACATGACATGAAACTATATTCGTCTAATTAAATTGATTAATTTAACATGTTCCCTTGTTTTAGGAAAGACTTACACATTTACTTTGACAAATCATAAACTTTAGACTATCTCTTAATAGGGTGAATATTGTGAAATACGAAAATGGCCTTTTGGTGAATGCGTTTCACCACACGTAATGGAGTTCGCGGAGTGTGGTTTGAATTTGAGTTCTGGAAAATTATATTTTTTGGATTCGAATTTATAATTAAAAAAATTACAGCAGAATTGATATAGATTCGATTTTGTATTAAAAGAACGTCTTAATCCGGTTTATTTTGATTCATTGCACACATCCATTGTCCATAATGACCAATTTGAACGTTTTTTATAAAAATATATTGTAGCATTGATGTCTAACCGAACATTGAATAAATGAGATTACACATATGAAAACTTTACTGGATGTAGGGTTGAAATTAATTTAGATAAAAAAAACTACTTGGCTATATCTAATTGTAGAGTTATTGTACGTGTTAAACCAAAGAGGAAAAAAAAAAGGTGGTCGAGGAAGTCGTTAAATGTGCCACGTCACCCTCGGATTTAAAGGGAAACAAATCTTGCCAACCAATAAGAAGAGGTGGGTGAGAAAAGTAATTGGTCGCACGCTGTGACTTTATCATCTCCATTACAACAGCAGCTTAATGGAATCTTTCTCTGCCTGAGAAGCGTTCACATTTGCAAATAACAAGTCCCTTTTTAGGTCTACACGAAATAACGAAAATGCCACTGTAAAAAGCCCCCTCTTCTATATCTGAAGAGGCTATTTTCGGCATTTATAAACATTCAAAATCGTTTAAAAAAACTTTTGAAATTTCCAAGTTGGTGGGTCCACCACACGATGCATGTTTGATCCAATAGACCCCTGACAAATTATATTTTATATTATCATTTATCATTGTTATTATTATTATATTTATTCTTTTCCCATTTATCCACCACCAACCCGGCAACCCCCGCGAATCTGGACCGCTCCTTTTAACGGACGTGCGTAAAATCTTAGCCGTTGATCTTTTCGAAGAATACAGACCACACGATCTATATCATCCAACGGCCTGTATACATATACTGGAACCTTCGTCTTCCCAAATAGCCATCTATATCTAACTCTTGTTCTTCCTCCTCTCCCTTGTGCTCGTGTTCGCCTCGTGGAAACCACCTACATTTCTTTTTGTCGTTTGGATTCTCTGAAGGTACGCAACTATCTGTCTTCGATCTTTTGTTTTGTCATCGGTTCTTCTGTCGATCGATCTTTTCGTTGTATTTTGTCATTTCGATCTGAGTGGAATCGTCCGAATGATGTGTTTTTGCGTTTAGATCCTTGATCATTGGTGTCGGCATCGTTTGTTTTGCTACCGATCTATGTATTCTGATGTGTTTTTTTACCTGTTGTGTATTTTGGTTGTCCGAATCGTTTCTGTAGTTTCACGATATTCTTTTGGCTATTTGTTTGTGTGACAGTGTGGAACTGTAGTGTTGCTTCTTCTGGGTGGTGTGTTTAAACCTGTATTGCCGTAGTATCGTGTAGCTTCTGGTTGCAGTTGGTTCTGTTCAAGATTTGGTTTGTGTTCTAATCTTTATGTTCTGTTTGACCGACGGCTTATTTTGGTTGATTGATCGACTGGTGGTGTCTGAAAAGTCATCGGACGAAAGGTCGTGGATTATGATTCTCAGTTTGTGCTCCATGATTTATTCATATTAGACATTTTTCTTCTTTTTCTTGGGAATAACGACAAGCCTACGTTAGTGTTGAGTAGTTTATCTTTTTGGTTTTAGCGATTTGGCTACATAGAATTCTTGTAGCGCGTTATTTGGCTGCGGGATTCATGTATTTTGTTTCTCCTTTTGCAGATTTGCAAAGATGACGAAGAACTACCCAGCTGTGAGTGAGGAATACAAGAAGGCCGTCGAGAAATGCAAGAGAAAGCTCAGAGGCTTGATCGCTGAGAAGGGCTGTGCTCCTCTCATGCTCCGTCTAGCGTGTGTAACCATTTCACCCGGTACTTTACTTTGTGTCTGGTTGTCTGATTCAATAACTGCTTGTGTTCTGCTCTTTAGGTGGCACTCTGCCGGAACATTCGATCATAGCTCAAAGACCGGAGGCCCCTTCGGTACCATGAGGTTCGCCGCCGAGCAAGCTCACGGTGCCAACAACGGTATCAACATTGCCCTTAGGTTGTTGGAGCCCATCAAGGAACAGTTCCCAACCATCTCTTTTGCTGATTTCTATCAGGTACGCATTGGCGGAGCTATCTTGGTGTTTGCAATTTTTAAACTCCGATGATAAATTTGTTTTGTTTTGTGGCTGATACTGTTTTCTGGTGGAACAAATCTTCAGCTTGCCGGTGTTGTCGCTGTTGAAGTTACCGGTGGTCCTGATGTCCCCTTCCACCCCGGCAGAGAGGTTAGTCATAGCTTCTGTTCCTGCTTGATCTTATACTGAATGGTCATTTGTTTGTTATGGCTGGTCTTTGATTTGTTAACATATACCTCTTTTTCTGTTCAGGACAAGCCTGCGCCACCACCGGAGGGTCGTCTTCCAGACGCAACTAAGGGTAGTGACCATTTGAGGGATGTCTTTGTCAAGCAAATGGGGCTGTCTGACCAGGACATTGTCGCCCTCTCCGGTGGCCACACCCTGGTCTGTCTTTTTTTAATAATGTCTGATGTTAGTCTTCCCCAGCATGTTTTGGCATAATTTCTGATGTGTTTGGCTTTCTCTTTTCTAACAGGGAAGGTGCCACAAGGACAGGTCAGGGTTCGAGGGTCCCTGGACTGCTAATCCTCTCATCTTCGACAACTCCTACTTCAAGTAAAGTCCATTGAAATCATGATACTTTGCTGATATGTATGTGTATCACGAAATGTCAGTAGCTGAAACAGTGGTTGTCTTTAATGGCAGGGAGCTACTGAGCGGAGAGAAGGAAGGGCTGCTTCAGCTCCCTTCAGACAAGGCTCTTCTGTCCGACCCTGTCTTCCGTCCTCTCGTCGAGAAATACGCTGCTGTAAGAAACATCCTCTCTCTCCTTATATCCATCTAACGATCCTTAAAACGTGTCGTTGTGATCCTTGTTCCTATGTGATACTGATTCAGGACGAGGATGCGTTCTTCGCTGATTATGCCGAGGCACACCTGAAGCTCTCCGAGCTCGGGTATTAACACTCATTCATTCTGCTCATTCTCTGTTTGGTCAGTTATTTCTGATCCTTGTGGATTGCTCAAAGAGTATAATGTGTTTGCAGATTCGCCGACGCTTGAGAAGCCGTATATCTTTCACTGCCGGTGTTTGATTGTTCGTTTGTTTGCCTGATGAAGTAGTAGTGTGGTTCCCAAACTCGTGCTATTTTTGCCGGTGAATTAAGTCGTCCTCTCGCATTTTGATGTACGAGTTTACATCTTTTTTTTTATCTATTTTGTTCAGTAAGAGGCGAATATGGAGAAGTATGAACCTTTTGGGGACAATGTCGCTTTGCTTCTAATCTTTTAATAAATCTGTAATTTATAATTTTTTTTTTCCTCTTTTTTTTGGCAAACGAAAGAAACCCACTTCTCGAAAACTTTTGACAGATCAAATGTTCGCAACTGTCGTAAAAAGACGAGAAATTTCAAAACCCAAAGGTGGCAAAGTTACCGTTTTGGGCTTTGGGCTTTCATATTATGTTGGGGTGACATTTAGATTTGTTTAATCTAACTGCCCAGGGTAATTCATCGTGCGACGCCGTCAAGATTGGGAACCTCCTCCGTTACCAAACAGACCAAAACCTAATGTGTCGCAGGGATAACGGCGCAACCAAACAGCGGATGATTGCTATGTCACGTTAGTTATCCATGACAATAACGGCCTTTTGTTGTTGTCTTAACACTTGGGCTTATCTTAATCCGCCGTTTCTTTCTTTAATCATAGCTGCCTCCTCCTCTTCTCTTTTTTGTTTGTCCTTATTCCCAGACAAGACGAAACTGAAACCGTTACCGAACTCTTTTATTTTACCTGTGACGCATACATTTTGGTAATTTAATGTTTATGGAAAATTGGGCCTTGATAATTTTATGCGGGTAAGATAATTTGAAAAATATAAAAAAAAATATTGTTTAAAGTATATCGTATCGTATGAATAGTCGAAAAAATTCTGGTGCCGAAAAATAATTAAATATATACATGTGTGAGGCCATGTGGCAAATTGAAGAAGGACCAATCTTTGTTGCGATGGGACCTACACTCCACCGACCGATCACTCTGAGGAGCGAGCAATCACTCGTGGACCCCACACCACCCCAAATGCCTTTCGTGTGGGATTTGAACTTCTCCGTCTAATCGTCTATACGCTTCAAATTTCTTTAGATTTATTAATTTAATATGTACTTTATATTTTCCAATTTACTTATTCAATTGGATATATATATATGTATGTATGTAATGGTTATATTTAGTATATATTATATTTATCATCATTTTATAAAATTACGGAACAATTCATCGTATATATCTCGTATAACTATTCATTTATGCAAATGTCATTGTCTACTTATATGTATACTATATTTTATACCGATATATATATATTTCTGATGAGCAATATATCATCTACATAAAGCACAAGAAAGACCACTGCGCTCCCACTGACCTTCTTGTAAACGCATGGCTCATCTTCGTTTTGCAGGAAGCCAAACGTTTTGACTGCCTCGTCAAATCG